AAATACTATTCCAAATAAGTAAAATATGTGTTTATTTTCCTATCCTATTCATATTTCAAATCAAAATATATATTTGTTTATCTATTCTTAAAATCATATCCTAAATTATTCAATTATTTTTAATTTTTAAATTTTATCTTATAATAATCATCGATCTCTTCCTAACAATAATATTTAAAAAATACTACTCTAAATAATTAAATAAACGCACCCACATACTGTATTCTCTAAACATATATTTTCGAGTTTATACTTAAATAAGAATGGCAGTATGGGGGGGTACATCAATAATTTTCATAGAGATTTTCTTCTCAACAACTTTTATTCTCTCCATCTGCTGTTAGTCTGCAGTCAGATTAATAATTAAATCATTCTATGCATCATCAAATGTCACCTCAATTGTTTGTCAATCGCATCAAATAACTTGATAACTGATTAATTAGCTAAAGCACATCACAATGCCTCATCAAACGAATATATCGATGCTTTTTTTACTTGGAATTGGATGATAGATTATAGATATAATTTATATATAAACAGTGTCGAGTTTAGTTTTTCCGCATGGAATATTAAGAAGAGAGCTGGAAAATCTTGCAGAAAATGACATTAGCCAATGAGACACAAAAGTAAAACTGTAAGCATGTAATGTGGGGTGGTGGGAAATTAAGAAAAGTATGAACAGAAACCTTAACTCATATTAGTCTTATCCTTTGAATAAATGATTAGAATGTTATCTTTGAATCAATGTTTGAGAGAATTAATCATTCATGATGTGGGTCCTTTTCTGATTGGACAATTTAGGGTTTAAACTCTCAGGAATAATATCAATGGATCAATCTTTGCGCACGCCTGATAAAACATGTACATATTTATTAGAGCAAGAGCCTCGAATTTGGATTGCATTTAAAAACAAAAGTTTTACACTTAAAAAGAGTCGTAAAGTTGCTTGAAGGAAGATAATGTTATGATGCTGCTGCTGCTGCTGATGATGATGATCAAATTATTAATTTCCTCTTTATGACTCGGATTTTAGACCCACATTTCTCATGCCGAAGCAGAAAAGATTGAAATTAATTAAATTTCTGTGATTATGATGTATGCCTAGTACTTTCTTTCTCCAACAGGGGGCCAGTGGATATCTCTTGAGAATCAATGGGTGCTAGCATATGGTATGTAATACAAAATCATTCATGAACCTAGGCAAAATACATCCTTATATTCCTAAAGTGACTGTGGTATTGGTATCTGTGCAATATCACGACTGATCGATCTTTCTAAGTGTAAGACTTTAGATATAGAATTTTGGAAACTTAAGTATATGCTTTAGATTGAAATGATGCATGCATGGTTCAGTCAATTCAATTTTTATGAAGATTTGAAAGTAATGGGTTAACCTAACCTCCCAATTGTGTTCAAATTAACTTGATAATTCTGTATGAAAGGACACATTCGAATGAGCGGTTGATGAAAAGCATAACATCAAATACTTTTCTTATACTGAATTGTAAATTAAATTCCAATTCAACTAGCTTAGTTTATTTATTTTAAATATGGCTTAGTGGATGAGGAATTGCATATCATATTATTAATTTTTGCTCAAAGAAATTAGGTGGTGTCGTTACTTGTTGATGATGTTCCTTAGTGATTAATTAATGATTAATCACAAATTGAGGATAATTATGCTTTATTATGTGTATAAATTGATCTAATGATGTTGATGTAGGAATACACATATTTACCCATCACCGTCAATTCCTTAGTTTGCCAATGAAGTTTATATAAAAACCAATCTTCACAAGGTGTATTGACACCAATTAATAAAAATTATATATCTTCGATCAAGGAATTGAAACGATCCACTTATCATTCATACTTGATTAATCAATTATCTTGACTCTAGAGCAAGTCGATTTTTCTTTTATCAAATCGGGATAAATAATATTATGTCATTCTATGGGATTAATATTAACGTGTAAATGATAAATTAATGTGATAAAGGATGCATTAATACAACATAAGATAACGCATCTCTTGAACAATAAATTTGAAGTCTTATTTGATATATATAACGTGACCTAATAATGATATATTTATCCACATACACGACATAAATTTTCTTTCTTACCTAATTGATCAAATCTTCTCTTATGTTACTCATGACAACTCCATTCTTTCATTTGGTATAATTTTTACAGTAAAAAATCCTCATTCTCTTTGAAACGTGAACCAAATCCATTAATTACAGCCAAGTGTTTCTTCTAGATTGAAACGTGAACCAAATCCATTTTGGCCAACTAAATCGGCCGACAATTTTGCTAATTATAAAAGCTATTGACTCTTGATCAAGCTAATTTTCGTTTCAAGTCTTCATCAATATAATGCGCCAATAGCCAGTAAATTAATGGTAGGAATCTCGGAATCCGAACTCAAGATGGTGAAGTTTGGTCTCCCAATAACCAATACCAAATTGAAGAAGTGGTAAGCTCAATCATCATTCATTCTGTCTACTTAAACCACGTTCAAAGTTGGTAGTTACAAGTCGTTTTTAGCATTATTAATGGTGCTCTATTCTATTATATATTAAGAACTCACCGTTTAATGGTTATTTATTACTAGAACTCTACCCTTTAATAAGTAACGTTGAATGATATACTTGGAAACTTGTATGAATCAATCGAAATACTTTATAAGAAATGAATTAAAGAGGTCATTATATGTTTAATTTATACAAGCTTTCAAATTATATAAAAAAATGTTTTGTATTATAAATAGGGTTTAGAGTTTAAAGTGTAGGGTTTTAGTTAAAATCGTTTTCAAACATATAGGCATCAAATAGATTTTCAAAAGTATACAATATTATCCAGTTTAGTAACTCTTAATCAATCATGATTCAGATGTTGTTTTAAACTTAATTAACTTTGTTGGTGCTAAAGTCCCACATCGATTAGGAGATAAAGATCTTGGTTGCTTATGTAACACAAGAATACCCTTACCACCTAGAGACACATTTTCAGGATAAAACTGTGCGGGCTCCAAGGCCCAAAGTGAACAATACCTTGGGAACCTACCTACCACGTGTCTAGATCTGGCATACATCAACAGTTTAGTTGGCGCTACCATATGTCTGAATCTAATATACATCAAGAGTTGGCACATGCTACCATGTGTCTGGATCTGACATATATCAATAGTTGACACTAGAAGGAGGGTCAAGGCCACTCCCAAGCCCAAGTCTCACATCGGTTAAGAGATTGGGCTTATATAGCACAAGGACACCCTTACCACCTAGAGTCACCTTTTCAAGACAAAACTATGCGTGCTCCAAGACCCAAAGTGGACAATACCTTGGGAATCTACCTACCATGTGTTTGGATCCGCCATACATCAACAATTAGCATTACCATATGTCCGGATCTAACATACATCAAGAGTTGGTGCTAGAAGGAGGGTCTAGGCCACTCCCAAGCCCAAGTCCCACAGCAGTTAGGAGATTAAGCATATATAGCTCAAGGAAGCCCTCACCACCTAGAGTTGCCTTTTCAAGACAAAACCATGAAGGCCTAAAGCGGATAATACCTCTAAGAACCCACCTACTATATGTTTGAATTTGACATACATCAACACGCTTAAATTAAATTCAACCGACATTCAAACTTAAGTTTAAAGTAAGAAGATGTATACGTATGTTGATACTGACTACCACTAAAGCTTAATTGGTATGGTTGAGAATTGAGATCAAAGGTTGAATGACATGGTCAATCGAAAGAGACATATGGATGTTGAATGGAATTAAATAAAGATTAAGAGTAATCATTTTAACTGATAGACTTTGCTTGGATAACACAACTCCACTTGTCTTATCACAAACCTAAATTACTTAATATTATACAAAGAAGTGAACCTAATACGTACAAAATTAAAGCATGTAGTGTTAATTAGAGTAGGTTAATTGATTAATACATGTATACTTGCAGACAAAACAGGTTTATTATTATGTTTCATATAAAGTGGGGGGAGCCCCCTCGAAGGAAGAAGCTAGGTCAAACAGAATGAGTTAATTAATTAATGGGGGTTTATGAGTTTAGGTAGTTAACTAAGAGTACATGACGTTATGATAATATCAATTTAATTATATTTTTTTGAATCTAATTAATTAATTAATTAATTACTAGAATATTATGATGTTGTCTCTTGCAAAAACTATTTAAAAATACTAAGCAACTTGTGTATGCACATGCTTTTTCTGGTTGCATGCGTGTTCCAACACAAGAGAGACAAATCTATTAGGTCATGTGAAAACCATTACAAGTTATTTAAGTTTTTTGGAGAGTCCAAATCATTAAGCTAACAACTCACTACATTTTAGGGTTAATGGTCATCCACCCATAAAAGGTTCATTGGTTTAAAGCGTACTAACTATTTCGTGAAAACTATTATGTATTTTCTTATCAGGAAGAGTTTTGATACTTTTACAGGATGATTGTTGATAATCTCAAAAAGGATTTTTTTTTTTTTTTTTTTATAATACTAGGAGATATTCAATAGTTATCAAGATTTATCGATCTCTTTCGGATGAGTAAAATTAACCGTTCTATTTTGTTTACTTTAATCAAACACTATAGAGAAAAAAGAAAGTGAGATAACACTTTTTGAGTATATAAGAATACTCTTTGAGACACTCCTAATATAGCTCTCCATAATTCCATTGCATGTTCTTTGGGGCTTTAATTATTTGGATTCCTTGGGAACCTTTGGGCTAGCCCATAATGTAGCAAAACCTAAATTTGGGCTTGGCCCATAAGCCCAGAAGGCAAATTTGTGATTAAGCAGCACCTCCATTTGCAATGTCATAGTTAGTGTTGTCTGATGATCAACAGATCAGAGTTAACATGGTCAATGTGATGATCATATACATTCAAAAGCACCACATAGATAAATGAGGGCTCAGAGCTGAAGGAACAAGAAAAGAACGGATCTTATTCAGATAAAATTTCGGCTACAAATATGAATTGGATGCTAATAATGTTACTTTAAAGTGTGATATTGCCTCTTTTATGTCAAGTTCTTTGACGAAGTAATTGAACATCTGGTACATATCCAGATGATTTTAGCAGTTTTGTCAACCCCTTCAAGGTTCTGTATATTTCCTCGGTTTCAGGATGTCTCTCATCTAAGGAATAGAACTCGACCACAGCTTCATTAACCTCAATCGAGCTACACCCCGGTAATTTTTTGAACCCGGTATCTCTCATTGCCACTTTCACTCGTGCAACATCTTTCCATCTCCCCAGGTCCCCATATATGTTTGAAAGCACGACGAAGTTTGCAGGATTCTTCGGTTCGAGTTCTGTGAGTCGTTCGAGCGCCAGTTCAGCTAATTCAACGTTTTTATGAACTCTACATGAACCAAGTAAATTAGCCCAAATAACAGCATCTGCTTCTATAGGCATCTTCCTTATAAAATCAACAGCCTCTGCTAAACGACCTGCTCGTGTCAGCAGATCAACCATGCAACCATAATGCTCAATTTGAGGCACAATTGAATAATCATCAACCATAGAATTGAAATATGATAAGCCATCTTCAACCAAGCCCATATGTGTACAAGTACACAAAATACCGATGAAAGTGATTCCATCAGGTGCTTCTGCAGCATTCTTCATTTGAGAAAACAAATTTAAGGCTTCGACTCCCCGTCCATGCATTGCTAAACCACCAATTATGGTGTTCCAACTGATCAAATCCTTTTTATCCATGCCCTTAAAGACATCAACTGCATTTTCTATAACTCCACATTTTGCATACATGTCAACCAAAGCATTCCCAACATATAAATTTCCCTTATACCCATTACTCTCTGCATACAGATGCACCCACTTGCCCAAATCAAGAGCTCCTAATCTTGCACACGCAGACAACACAGTCACAAGTGTAGCATCATTAGGTAACACGTTGCGCTCATTCAACATCCTTTTGAAAGCATCTAAAACTTCAAAGAAACATCCATTACGCGCATACCCTCCAATCAGTGCATTCCAAGAAAACACATTCTTTTCAGGCATCTCTTCAAACAACCTGTTGCATTCCTCAACATTCCCGTTAATGGCATAACCACTAAGCACCGTGTTCCAAGACATGACATCCTTTTTCGGCATATGATCAAACAGCTTTCTTGCCTCCAACATATCCCCCAACTCAATATACCCTGAAACCATAGTGTTCCACAAAATAACATCCCTCTCGGGCGCCAAATCAAAAAGGCACCTTGCAGAAGCAATATCACCGCAAGAAATGTACCCATTAATCATCGAAGTCCACACAACTACATTCCTCTCAACCATCTCGCCAAACACCTTATAAGCCGCTTTTATCACATTCCCACCAGAATATAACTCAATCAACGTAGTTCCCACATAATGATTTGCTCCAAAACCATTCTTGATAACAAAACAATGCACTTCTTCACCTTCTCTCAACGCACTACTCTTCATACAAGACTTCAAAACAACAGGAAACGTGAAGCAATTAGGCATAACATCCATCTTCTTCATTCGACTAAACAAAACTACAACTTCCCTATGAAGCTCATTCATTGCATACCCTCTAAACGTAGCATTCCATGACGCAATGTTTGCTTCAGGAATTTTATCAAACACCTTGCGCCCATATGTCATTTGCTTCAACTGAGCACATGCCGAGATGATTCTCGGAGTTATAAAGTGGTTGTGTTCTAACCCATGAGTGGTTATCTGGGTTTGGATTTGCTGGAGATGTTTTGAGGTCTTACATGACTGCAATAGCGAAATGAGCTTCTCTTCAACAAGCCTTTGAGGGGGTTTTGTGCAACAAGTTGCAGAAATTTTCGCTATTTTGAATCAGTACATTAATTAATGTGACGATTTTATAAACGTACTTACACGAACACTTTCAGATCAGTACCTTAATGTAAGAGTCGCGATTGAACAGAGGGACATTATTTGGTCTTGTTCAATCTTGAAAGTAGCAATGTGTGCCAAGGATGTATGTTCTATGTATGCAATAAGCCTTACAAATAACTAGAGACAAATAATTACCATAAGTGTTTTCCGGTCGAGACTTTTTAGTGTATTAGTCAAAAAATTCTAAGTTTGAATTCTCACAATTACTAATAAGAGGTAATCATTGAAAGTTTACTTGACTGTTAACTTCAGAACCCTAAAACAATAGTCAAGGTGTATAACCTTACAAAGAGCGTATAACTCAATTACCTTTCCTCATGGCAATTTCAGAGGTGGGATATTATATTATAAAGCTACATTGAACTACTAAATAATCTTGCTTAATTACAATTAAAAGGGTATTATTAAATAAAAGCAACATTATTTAAAGATTTTATTCATAGATCTACTAAACCAACTTGCTTAATTACAATTAATTAATGAGGGAATCACTTAATTAACCTATCATCTTTTGATTTCTTTCAATTTTTTTTTATTATTTTAATTTGCCCACCAACCTTAACCTCAATTGCATACAACAACATAAAGAACATGAAAGGGACACATGACCCAACAAAACTGAATTTAGTATCTACCACATTTGTTTTAGTATAACCTTCTTTTTCAGCTCATCTCTGAACAAAGAGGTAATCCACCACGTGGGCCATGTGCATTTTTCAAGGATAAATACATCTACACCTCCTTACTATTGAAAACCAACATTAAGATCCCATCACTTTAAAATCACACACTTCATTCCCCAGCCAACTTCGATGTGTAGAGTGGGATTTGGTTTGAGTGTAGGGAGGTAATTGTGTATTTTTAAAATTAATGGGGGGAAATAGTAATACGGGGGTGTAATTTTATAAGTCCGACTTTTTAATAGTGCATGCATCAACACATGCTGTTGATCCGACTAGTATCTTTCTGTACTTGTTGAAAACATGGAATTGTCTCTGACCCTTAGATTCCGGCCACCAGAGCTCACTTTCTTCAACCGTAACCAACGTTATCTCTTCACCAGTCCATTAAAACGTCAACTACCCACCGTGGCTCCACTCAAGTACAACCTGAAACGCACAGTTTTCGTCATCACAGCCAAGATTAATACTGAAAAGGCAGTTCACATTGAAGGCGTCAGTGAAGAGTTGAATTTAATTGCTTCTCAGAATCTTGATTTTGCTCCTGTTCGTAGAAGGGTTCGATCTGCTTTCACTGAAGTTCAACAAAATCTTGATACATAAAAAGAAAGAAGAAAACATATGGTTATTTGGTTTACCCAATTAATATGTTGCATGCGTCCAATAGAATCAAAATTATTTCAATATTGTCTCACTCTTTATTTATAATGAGTAATTATCTTATAATTATATCGTTCATATAAAGAAAAGTTGTGCTCGTTAATGTTGAATTGGTCAACTTAACTCTAATAGATTTGACATTAGCTCCGTCTTTGATTTTGAAAGCAGAAGGATCTCTTTAAAACCCTAATCCTAATATCAGTCTGCATCAATTTATAATTTAATGCAGGATAATAAATGATTTGATATATGGATTTTCAAAATTATACATAGCACATGATTTCGGTGTGAATTTTCTAAAGCTATACAATGGGAAAGGCCAATTAATAGATTTCATTTCATGGGGAAAGTCATTCTTGTCAATAATCTTGTGAGGAAGAGATGATGATCAATTAAAAGATAAGCCAACAGACGACTACTGCACATATTCATGAAACAAAATTATAAGTACGAAGTGGATCGCTCTACCATGAAAATGAAGTGAAAAGCTATTTGGAAGGTGAGATTTCAGCATCATCACCAAGTCTTCACCACCGACCGCGGCAGCATTAAATGTGTCGTTTCAACTGATTAACATTTTTTATCCATCTATCTATGAGTAACTCTCCAACGTTCATTTCTGCATGTTCACTGTCATGAAAGCTAGCTTCCATACTGTATACCTTGATGTGAAATAAAGGCAGGTTTATCCCCAGGCCGAAAGGGTATAGTAAATTCATATATCACGTCACAATACATGATATTTTATTCATCAACACATCGTATTATAAAAAGCAGTGGCGTGATCAAGAATTTTTTCGTACAATATTTCTGCATGTTCACTGCATGAAAGCTAGCTTCCAAACGTATACCTTGATGTGAAAGAAAGGCAGGTTGATCCCCAGGCTGCAAAGGGTTATATACATTCATGTATCACGTCACAGTACATGATATTTTATGCATCATTCAACACACATCGATTTAACAAAAGCAGTGGCGGTGATCAAGAGTTTTGTTCGTACAATATTTGTTGAAAGATTCAATTCAACCGTCGGTGTGTCCTCTTGAGTAATATATTAAATTCATAAAGCCATGAGTGTCAAATGAAAGGTGTAGTGGAAGATTGGCTCGGCAAGGCTAATTTGGTACAATTTTAGTCGGACAATAGGAAGGAACGATGTGAAGTTCTAACAAATTATATATAATACTCTGTAAGCACAAGAGTCCAATAAAATTAGCATTTTATCAGTCAAATTACTTGGCTAGCCATTTGGATATAATTGGGGGTTGAAGTTGAATATATTCAACACTAAAATGATAAGAGATCGATCTCTTTTTGAAAATAGAACAACCACAAAATATGGTTGTTTAATCAACATATAAGGGTTTGATTTGATATTGGATGTGATGGATTGAGATTGCATAGAATCTTGTAATGTACTCAGGCCAACAAAAAGAATTAAATTATGTATAATATATTATGTTCAGACTAGGGTGAGTTTGTTTAAATATTTATTGTATTCTAAATTTTATGCATATTATTTTTTATTTTTAAAATATTATTTAAAATTATTCTACTATTTTAATTTCAAATCTATCGGTAATAATTATCAAACTTTATCTAATAATAATATTTTAAAAATATTACTCCAAATAACTAAAAACGCATTTATTTTCCTATTATATTCGTATTCCATATCAAAATATATATTATTTACTATTTTTAAATTATATTTTAAATTATTCAATTTTTAATTTTTAATTTATATCATAATAACTACACTTCTTTACCTATAATAATATTTCAAAAATACTTCCTAAATATCTAAATAAACGACCCACATACTGTATTCTCTAAACATATATTTTCGAGTTATACTTAAATAAGAATGGCAGTATGGGGGGTACGTCATAATTTTCATAGAGATTTTTCTCAACAACTTTATTCTCTCCATTTGCTGTTACTCTGCAGTCGGATTAATAATTAAATCATTCTATGGATCATCAAATGTCACCCCAATGTAGGCAATCGCATCAAATATCTTGAAACTGATTAATTAGCTAAAGCATATCACAAGGCCTCATCAAACGAATATATCGATGCTTTTTACTTGGAATTGGATGATGATAGATATAATTATATATAAACAGTGTCAAGTTTAGTTTTTCCGCATGAATATTAAGAAGAGAGAGCGGAAAATCTTGCAGAAAATGACATTAGCCAATGAGACACAAAAGGAAAACTGTAAGCATGTAATGTGGGGTGGTGGGAAATTAAGAAAGTTTGAACGAAACCTTAACTCATATTAGTCTTATCCTTTGAATAAAAGATTAGAATGTTATCTTTGATCAATGTTTGAAAGATTAATCATTCATGATGTGGGTCCTTTTCTGATTGGACAATTTAGGGTTTAAACTCTCAGGAATAATATCAATGGATCAATCTTTGCGCACGCCTGATAAACATGTACATATATTAGAGCAAGAGCCTCGAATTTGGATTGCATTTAAAAACAAAGTTTGACACTTAAAAGAGTCGTAAAGTTGCTTGAAGGAAGATAATGTTATGATGCTGCTGCTGCTGCTGATGATGATGATCAAATTATTAATTCTCTTTATGACTCGGATTTTAGACCCACATTTCTCATGCCGAAGCAGAAAAGATTGAAATTAATTAAATTTCTGTGCTTATGATGTATGGCTAGTACTTTCTTCTCCAACGGGGGCAGTGGATATTCTGAGAATCAATGGGTACTAGCATATGGTATGTAATACAAAATCATCATGAACCTAGGCAAAAACATCCTTATTCCTAAAGTGATTGTTATTGGTATCTGTGCAATATCACGACTGATCGATCTTTCTAAGTGTAAGACTTTAGATATAGAATTTTGGAAACTTAAGTATTGCTTTAGATTGAAATGATGCATGCATGGTTGTCAATTCAATTTTTATGAAGATTTGAAAGTAATGGGTTAACCTAACCTCTCAAATGTGTTCAAATTAACTTGATAATTCTGAATGAACGACACATTCGAATGAGCGGTTGATGAAAAACATAACTCAAACTTTTCTTATACTGAATTGTAATTAAATTCCAATTCAACTAGTTAGTTTATTAATTTTAAATATGGCTCAGTGGATGAGGAATTGCATATCATATATAATTTTTGCTCAAGAAATTAGGTGGTGTCGTTACTGTTGTGATGTTGCTTAGTGATTAATTTAATGATTAATTATAAATTGTGGATAATTATGCTTTATTATGTGTATAAATTGATCAATGATGTTGATGTAGGAATACATATATTTACCATCACCGTCAATTCCTTAGTTTGCCAATGAGTTTAGATAAAACGGGATGAATAATGTTATGTCATTCTATGGGATTAATATTGACGTGTAAATGATAAATTGAGTGATAAAGGATGCATTAATACCACATCTTTGAACAATAAATTTGAAGTCATTTGATATGTATAAACGTGACCATAATGATAATTTATCCACACAACGACATAAATTTTCTTTCTTACTAATTGATCAAATCTTCTCTATATTACTCATGACAACTCCATTCTTTCATTTGGTATAATTTTTACAGTAAATCCTCATTCTCTTTAAACGTGAACCAAATCCATTAATTACAGCCAAGTTTTTCTTCTAGATTGAAACGTGAACCAAATCCATTTTGGCCAACTAAATCGGCCGACAATTTTGCTAATTAAAAAGCTATTGAATCTTGATCAAGCTAATTTCGTTTCAAGTCTTATCAATAAATGAGCCAATAGCCAGTAAATAATGGTAGGAATCCGGAATCCGAACTCAAGATGGTGAAGTTTGGTCTCCCAAAACCAATGCCAAATTGAAGAAGTGGTAAGCTCAATCATCATTCATTTTTTACTTAAACCACGTTCAAAGTTGGTAGTTACAGTCGTTTTTAACATTATTAATGGTGCTCTATTCTATTATATATTAAGAACTCACCGTTTAATGGTTATTTATTACTAGAACTCTACCCTTTAATAAGTAACGTTGAATGATATACTTGGAAACTTGTATAAATCAATCGAAATACTTATAAAGAAATGAATTAAAGAGTTCATTATATGTGTAATTTATACAAGCTTTCAAATTATATAAAAAATGTTTTGTATTATAAATAGGGTTTAGAGTTTAAATTAGGGTTTTAGTTAAAATCGTTTTCAAACACATAGGCATCAAATAGATTTTCAAAAGTATACAATATTACTGTTAGTAACTCTAATCATCACGATTAGATGTTGTTTTAAACTTAATTAACTTTGTTGTGTAAAGTCTCACATCGGTAGGAGATAAGGGTCTTGATTGCTTATATAGCACAAAAATACCCTAACCACCTAGAGACACATTTTTAGGATAAAATGTACGAGCTCAAGGGCCCAAAGTGAACAATACCTTGGGAACACCTACCACGTGTCTGGATCTGCATACATCAACAGTTTAGTTGGCGCTACCATGTCTGAATCTAATATACATAACAATTGGCACATGCTACCATGTTTGGATCTAACATATATCAATAGTTGACACTAGAAGGAGGGCCAAGGCTACTCCCAAGCCCAAGTCTCACATCGGTTAGGAGATTGAGTTATATAGCACAAGGACACCCTAACCACTCAGAGTCACCTTTTCAAGACAAATTGTACAGGCCCAAGGCTCAAGTGGACAATACCTTGGGAACCTACACCATGTGTCAGATCCGCCATAAATCAACATAGTGTTACCATATATCTAGATCCGACATACATCAAGAGTTGGTGCTAGAAGGAGGGTCTAGGCCACTCCCAAGCCCAAGTCCATAACGGTTAGGAGATTGAGCATATATAGCTAAGGAGACCCTCACCACCCAAAGTTGCCTTTTCAGGACAAAACCATGAAGGCCTAAAGAGATAATACCTCTAAGAACCCACCTACTATATGTTTGAATTCGATATACATCAACAAGCTTAAATTAAATTCAACCGACATTCAAACTTAAGTTTAAAGTAAGAAGATGTATACGTATGTTGATACTGACTACCACTAAAGCTTAATTGGTGTGGTTGAGAATTGAGATCAAAGGTTGAATGACATGGTCAATCGAAAGAGACATACGGATGTTGAATGGAATTAAATAAAGATTAAGAGAATCATTTTAACAATAGACTTTGCTTCGATAACACCACTCCACTTGTCTTTACACAAACCTAAATTACTTAATATTATACAAACAAGTGAACCTAATACGTACAAAGTTAAAGCATGTAGTGTTAATTAGAGTAGGTTAATTGATTAATACATATATACTTGCAGACAAACAGGTTATTATTATGTTTCATATAAAGTGGGGGGAGCCCCCTCGAAGGAAGAAGCTAGGTCAAACAGAATGAGTTAATTATAATTAATGGGGGTTTATGAGTTTAGGTAGTTAACTAAGACTACTGACGTTATGATAATATCAATTAATTATATTTTTTTGAATCTAATTAATAATTAATTAATTACTAGATATTATGATGTTGTCTCTTGCAAAAACTATGAAAATACTAAGCAACTTGTGTATGCACATGCTTTTTCTGGTTGCATGCGTGTTCCAACAAAGAGAGACAAATCTATTAGGTCATGTGAAAACCATTACAAGTTATTTAAGTTTTTTGGAGAGTCCAAATCATTAGCTAACAACTCACTACATTGGGTTAATGGTCATCCACCCATAAAAGGTTCATTGGTTTAAAGCGTACTAACTTTTCGTAAAAAATTATGTATCTTCTTATCAGGAAAAGTTTTGATATTTGCAGGATGGTTGTTGATAATCTCACAAAAGGTTTTTTTTTTTTTTTTTTATAATACTAGGGATATTCAATAGTTTCAAGATTTATCGATCTCTTTCGGAGAGTAAATAACCGTTCTATTTGTTTACTTTAATCAAACACTACAGAGAAAAAAAGAGTGAGATAACACTTTTTGAGTATATAAGAACACTCTTAGACACTCCATATAGCTCTCCTAATTCCATTGCATGTCTTGGGGCTTTAATTATTTGGATCTTGGAACCTTTGGGCTAGCCCATAATGTAGCAAAACTAAATTTGGGCTTGCCCATAAGCCCAGAAGGAAATTTGTGATAAGCAGACCCTCCATTTCCAATGTCATAGTTAGTGTTGTCTGATGATCAAGTGATCAGAGTAACATGGTGAATGTTATGATCATACATTAAAAGCACCACATAGATAAAAGAGGCTTAGAGCTGAAGGAACAAGAAAAGAACGGATCTTATTCAGATAAAATTTCGGCTACAATATGAATTGGATGCTAATAATGTTACTTAAAGTGTGATATTGCCTCTTTTATGTCAAGTTCTTTGACGAAGTAATTGAACATCTGGTACTATCCAGATGATTTTAGCAGTTTTGTCAACCCCTTCAAGGTTCTGATATTTCCTCGGTTTCAGGATGTCTCTCATCTAAGGAATAGAACTCAACCACAGCTTCATTAACCTCAATCGAGCTACACCCTGGTAATTTTTTGAACCCGGTATCTCTCATTGCCACTTTCACTCGTGCAACATTTTCCATCTCCCCAGGTCCATATATGTTTGAAAGCACGACGAAGTTTGCAGGATTCTTCGGTTCGAGTTCTGTGAGTCGTTCGAGCGCCAATTCAGCTAATTCAACGTTTTATAGAACTTACATGAACCAAGTAAATTGCCCAAATAACAGCATCTGCTTCTATAGGCATCTTCCTTATAAAATCAACAGCCTCTGCTAAACGACCAGCTCGTGTCAGAGATCAACCATGCAACCATAATGCTCAATTTGGCACAATTGAATAATCATCAACCATAGAATTGAAATATGATAAGCCATCTTAACAAGCCATATGTGTACAAGCACACAAAAATCCGATGAAAGTGATTCCATCAGGTGCTTCTGCAGCATTCTTCATTTGAAAAACAATTTAGGGCTTCCGCTCCCCGTCCATGCATTGCTAAACCACCAATTATGGTGTAACTTCCTCCGCTGGGTACTCCCTGAAATACCTCTCGAACTCGGGTAATCCGATGGCCTTCCTTAACCCGCTCCGACTCACTGAGTTAACGCAGTATTTCAACTCTTCTGACTCACGAAAATACTCTTCTAACTCCTCGAACATCCCCGTCTCAAACATTTCGTCTACTCTCTTGTCCAGATATTCATACAAAACAGGTAATGATGAGTCAACCCAGAGAAAACAACAGTTATATCTCAAGCTTGAACTCACTGAGTTGAAGGCATCCAAAGCATCGAACCTTGGGTTGTATTCTTGGACAAGTAATGAATAAATGAAGGAGTTAGAGCCGCCGACGATAAAGGGTGTTCTTTTACGGGAGACAATATCGGAGATGGTTAAGTGAGCGAGGTGGCGGAACTCGAGGGGAGTCAACTCGCCGTCCTGCGAGTCGAACTCGCCTAGAAAGTGGTGGGGAATGTTCTGACGTTCATGCAGAGAAATCTTGTTGGTGGTGATATCAAGACCCTTGTAGACTTGCATTTTATCGGAGTTAATGATTTCAGAAGGGAAATACCTGGTGGCAAGATCAACAGAAAGGCGGGATTTTCCTGTGCCGGTGGCGCCCATGATGACGACGATCTTGTCTTTTTTACGGTAGTGACGGTGGGGCTGGAAAGTGGGAGGAGTGGTGATGGGATTGGTAGTGGTAGAGGCAGCCATGAGAGTTAACGTAGATGGTCTTCTGTGAGTTGAACGCCGTCGTTTAAGGAGGAATGAAAGTGAAAGAAAAGAGTAATGTAATTGGTGATGGGTAGTAGTAGTAGTTGGTGGAGATGGTGAAAATGCAAGTCTCATAGCATAAAAAATGTTTTTAAAAAACAAAAATAATGACAGGCTGGCTGCTAATGTAACTATTGCTGTTTCTAGAGAGAAATAGAAGGAAGGAAGAAATGATTTGCCATCGGTGTGTTGTGAGAAATTGTTTTTGGGAAGCAAATGAAACGTTTCCAATTGTTGTTGCTGTTTTGGTGAGAAATAGTACAAGGGGTTTGAGGTGGCGATGTTTCGGGGAGTGAATATAGTACTGCTGCTGTTGCGACAGAGAGGCTGCACTCACCAAGAGAGAGAATTTACAAAGAGGAAATGGAAAAGGGATGAAGGAGAGAATGAATGAAGAAGTTTTCAAAATGGATTTGTGAGAATGAAATGAAATTATATATTATGGTATGGGATGTGTTATTATTTAATAGTGATAAAATAATAAATAACTTGGAGTTAATATTACTTATAGAAAAAAGAAATCGGATTTTTTTTTTTTTTTTTTTTGGTTTTCAAAAGATAAGACTGATTAAACCCACTACCAAAGTCAGACATATATACACTTCCCATCACATAGAATAAAACCATTGGCTTCCTGGGAATTACATAATTTGGGTTTGTCAATGAATCCCCAGTTCTCTGAGCTCTCTCTTTCCGAACCTCCGTAATATCTATGTCACATATTTGAACCAATATATACAGCAATAAAGAACCACAACAGTCACAATTAAAATTAAAATATTTATGAGTGAGATGCAAACAGAAAACATTATGAAACATTGGAGAGTTTCTTGTTCATGGTAATGTTGCTATAATGCAATAATGCCCTCATATCCACCCTGAACCTCCGGCTCCTCCTCTGGGCTGGTCGGGTCCACCCAAACTTAGCCACAGTTATAGACCAGACTCCCACCACCCAAACTTTACGAACTTTATACATAAATTCTTGAGAACGTGTGGTTTTCCATTTTCTTGGGGGACAAGCATGTATGTCTATGTATTGTTTAGGCAACCTCAGAAATAGTAAGCATTGTTAGTGGTTGTGTTTTCTTAGGGAAGGAAAACAAGGATCTGGTCGGTTTATCAGTGTCTTTGGTCGACTTCTCTTTTAAACTGGTTAGAAGAAGCAATCGACATTCCACATGAGAAGAAATTGAGTACCATGTGAGAAAATGATCACTCATCCTGAACTTTCTCGAACAATTTAATTACAAAATAAGAATATTCTCAATTTTTGTTGAATGATTATCCTTAATTAATGCTATTTACACACCATTCTATATTAACTTGTATGAATTAATCAGGGTATTTCATTTTGCCGATGCTTTTTTTTTTTTTTAATATGTCTCTGTTGAATGATAATACCCTCAATTTATATAAATATTTTATTGTAATCTAGGCTGTGGTATAGATCGTCAAATACAACCTGGAACTATGATCTGTAATCGCTTATTTAGCAGTAAATGTGGGTACAATGTCAACCTGTATGACTCGAAGAAGATTTTGAGCTGTTTTGTGAGATATTCACATTAAAAATTAATAAATATTAACTAAGAAACTAGTTTGTGAATTACTACATGAGATACTAATGATCTAGACTTTTTTGTGATCTTGAACGAAATAGAGAGTAACGAAAAACAAAATAAACACAAAACACGCAAACACAAACAATAAAAAGAAAGAAGAAAACATATGGTTATTCTGGTTTACCCAATTAATATGTTGCATGCGTCCAATAGAATCAAATATTATTTCAATATTGTCTCACTCTTCTTATTTATAATGAAGTAATTTATCTTATAATTATTATCGTTCATTATAAAAGAAAAGTTTGTGGCTCGTTAATGTTGAATTGGTCAACTTAACTCTAATAGATTTGACATTAGCTCCGTCTTTGATTTTGAAAGCAGAAGGATCCTCTTTAAAACCCTAATCCTAATATCTAAGTCTGCATCAATTTATAATTTAATGCAGGATAATAAATGATTTGATATATGGATTTTCAAAAATTATACAATAGCACATGATTTCGGATGTGAATTTTCTAAAGCTATACAATGGGAAAGGCCAATTAATTAGATTCTCATTCATGGGGAAAGTCATTCTTGTCAATTAATCTTGTGAGGAAGAGATGAATCAATTAAAAGATAAGCCAACAAGACGACTACTGCATTCATATTCATGAAACAAAATTATAAGTACGAAGTGGATCGCTCTACCATGAAAATGAAGTGAAAAGCTATTTGGAAGGTGAGATTTCAGCATCATCACCAAAGTCTTCACCACCGACCGCGGCAGCATTAAACGTGTCGTTTCAACTGATTAAACATTTTTTATCCATCTATCTATGAGTAACTCTCCAACGTTCATTTCTGCATGTTCACTGTCATGAAAGCTAGCTTCCATACTGTATACCTTGATGTGAAATAAAGGCAGGTTTATCCCCAGGCCGCAAAGGGTTATAGTAAATTCATATATCACGTCACACTACATGATATTTTATTCATCAACACACATCGTATTATAAAAACGCCTTGGGCGTGATCAAGAATTTTTTTCGTACAATATTTTTCTGCATGTTCACTGCATGAAAGCTAGCTTCCAAACTGTATACCTTGATGTGAAAGAAAGGCAGGTTGATCCCCAGGCTGCAAAGGGTTATAGTACATTCATGTATCACGTCACAGTACATGATATTTTATGCATCATTCAACACACATCGTATTATACAAAAGCAGTGGCGTGATCAAGAGTTTTGTTCGTACAATATTTGTTTGAAAGCATTCAATTCAACCGTCGGTGTGTCCTCTTGAGTAATATATTAAATTCATAAAGCCATGAGTGTCAAATGAAAGGTGTAGTTGGAAGATTGGCTCGGCAAGGCTTAATTTGGTACAATTTTAGTCGGACAATAGGAAGAAACGATGTGAAGTTCTAACAAATTTATATTATAATACTCTGTAAAGCACTAAGAGTCCAATAAAATTAGCATTTTATCAGTCAAATTACTTGGCTAGCCATTTGGATTATAATTGGTGGGGTTGAAAGTTGAATATATTCAACACTAAAATGATAAGAGATCGATCTTCTTTTTGAAAATAGAACAACCACAAATATATGGTTGTTTAATCAACATTATTAAGGGTTTGATTTGATATTGGATGTGATGGATTGAGATTGCATAGAATCTTGTAATCGTACTCAGGCCAACAAAAAGAATTAAATTATTGTAATAATTATATTATGTTCAGACTAGGGTGAGTTTGTTTAAATATTTTATTTGTATTCTAAATTTTATGCATATTTATTTTTTTATTTTTAAAATATTATTTAAAATTATTCTACTATTTTAATTTTCAAATCATATTCGGTAATAATTATCAAACTTTATCTAATAATAATATTTTAAAAATATTACTCCAAATAACTAAAATACGCATTTATTTTCCTATTATATTCGTATTCCATATCAAAATATATATTTATTTATCTATTTTTAAAATTATATTTTAAATTATTCAACTATTTTTAATTTTTAAATTTTATCTCATAATAACTACACTTCTTTACCTAATAATAATATTTCAAAAATACTTTCCTAAATATCTAAATAAACGCACCCACATACTGTATTCTCTAAACATATATTTTCGAGTTTATACTTAAATAAGAATGGCAGTATGGGGGGTACGTCAATAATTTTCATAGAGATTTCTTCTCAACAACTTTTATTCTCTCCATTTGCTGTTACTCTGCAGTCGGATTAATAATTAAATCATTCTATGGATCATCAAATGTCACCTCAATTGTTAGTCAATCGCATCAAATATCTTGATAACTGATTAATTAGCTAAAGCATATCACAAGGCCTCATCAAACGAATATATCGATGCTTTTTTTACTTGGAATTGGATGATAGATATAATTTATATATAAACAGTGTCAAGTTTAGTTTTTCCGCATGAAATATTAAGAAGAGAGCTGGAAAATCTTGCAGAAAATGACATTAGCCAATGAGACACAAAAGGAAAACTGTAAGCATGTAATGTGGGGTGGTGGGAAATTAAGAAAAGTTTGAACAGAAACCTTAACTCATATTAGTCTTATCCTTTGAATAAATGATTAGAATGTTATCTTTGAATCAATGTTTGAAAGAATTAATCATTCATGATGTGGGTCCTTTTCTGATTGGACAATTTAGGGTTTAAACTCTCAGGAATAATATCAATGGATCAATCTTTGCGCACGCCTGATAAAACATGTACATATTTATTAGAGCAAGAGCCTCGAATTTGGATTGCATTTAAAAACAAAAGTTTGACACTTAAAAAGAGTCGTAAAGTTGCTTGAAGGAAGATAATGTTATGATGCTGCTGCTGCTGCTGATGATGATGATCAAATTATTAATTTCCTCTTTATGACTCGGATTTTAGACCCACATTTCTCATGCCGAAGCAGAAAAGATTGAAATTAATTAAATTTCTGTGCTTATGATGTATGGCTAGTACTTTCTTTCTCCAACAGGGGGCCAGTGGATATCTCTTGAGAATCAATGGGTACTAGCATATGGTATGTAATACAAAATCATTCATGAACCTAGGCAAAAAACATCCTTATATTCCTAAAGTGATTGTCGTATTGGTATCTGTGCAATATCACGACTGATCGATCTTTCTAAGTGTAAGACTTTAGATATAGAATTTTGGAAACTTAAGTATATGCTTTAGATTGAAATGATGCATGCATGGTTTAGTCAATTCAATTTTTATGAAGATTTGAAAGTAATGGGTTAACCTAACCTCTCAAATGTGTTCAAATTAACTTGATAATTCTGAATGAAACGACACATTCGAATGAGCGGTTGATGAAAAACATAACATCAAATACTTTTCTTATACTGAATTGTAAATTAAATTCCAATTCAACTAGCTTAGTTTATTAATTTTAAATATGGCTCAGTGGATGAGGAATTGCATATCATATTATTAATTTTTGCTCAAAGAAATTAGGTGGTGTCGTTACTTGT